CTCTCTCTCTCTCTCTCTCTCTCTCTCTCTCTCTCTCTCTCTCTCTCTTAACATATTGAAGAATTGTTGTCGGCGTACGTAAATGTATGTATTGACGCGAAGAGCGGCAAGCAGCAACGGCAATGAGTAACGACAACCGACGGCAACGATGATGACGATGATGATGATGATGGTTGGAGGTTGAGTGGAGTTGGCATACGAAAAATTGGTGTATTCCATTCGACACAAAATTCATGGTGGGATCTTGAACCTGATCACACAATGCAAACAGCGAAAATACTCTTTGGGTACATGAGCTGCTGTTGCTGCTCTCTTGAAATCTCTACACACTCAAACCGTCAAACCGTACCTATAATAATGTGTACATATCCATATTGTGGCGGCATTTTAAATTTGTCTCTTGAACGAAGCGTACACATTCACAGCAGCGAAGGGAAATAGTTGCGCGCATAAACGCAACGCGATTAGTGTAACATTTTTTTTTTCATTCAACAACGAGTTAAACATCTCAGTTTTAAAAAAAAATTCTTTCATGTTTGGTAACAAACAGTACTGCCACAAAACGATATCCGAGAAATTGGCGGTTTTTAAAGTGCATTTGTAAAACGAAAGTGTCGAGCAAGAAGGGAAAAAAAGCAACCACGAACGAAAATAAAAGAACTTGTGCATCGACGATAAAAGTCAAGAGCGAAAAAAGAAAGAAACTCTGAAGAGATAGACGTGTCGAATAGAAATATTGCAAACGGACAGCAGCTGTAGAAGTGTGCATCGGTGCTACATTTCACTTGATACATTAAGGAAAGTGACTTCATCCGGATGTCAGACCATTTATTTTCGGGCTAGACACGCAAAATCACGGTGCTTCGCGTATTATCTGCAAAGTGCATCTGAATACGAAATATCGTGTAGTACTAGCAATTGAGAGGAAAAACGACCGCGCTGGTCTCACTGTTTTGTTTGTAACAAACAATTCGAGATTCGACCGCGAGATTTTAACACAGACATTGAATCAAATCTGCAGAGACTAAAACTGAGCTCGAACTTGAAATTCCCTCGTTGTTAAGAGATTTTCGAGTGTAAAACCAAAAAATAGACATAGTGACTGGAGTAGATAGAGAACATTTTCGTACGTGATAGTGTGAAATCGAGCGCCATCAACATTATTTTGGATATAAATTGTGTTGGAAAAATCAACCCCCCCCCCCCAAAAAAAAATGGTATGTGTGAGCTTCCACTTGTCCATTATTCCACTAATCTCTCGTTTGTTCAACGCAAAAAAATGCATCGTTTTGTGTCGATTTCGTCGTGATTTGTGTGAGATTGTATATGTGTGCGGATATGTTTATGCTGAAGAGCCATTCAGTGTTTGTTGTTGTCGTTTGTTTCACGCTGTCGAGATAGATGGAATGGCTTTGTTTCGCATTTCAAATGCATCTGTAAATGATTTTCGTGCACATTCATGGAATAGTTGTTCGGGCTCCCTAGATGCGATTTATAATGGCGCAATGCAACACCGCCAGAATGGTGTCGAATCGAATTTGTCGAAAATAGAAAATTGAATTCGCGCTTTAGCACTCAGCAAGCTCTTGCTCGCTCGTTTCGCCTGCTCATAATCTCGTCGTGCGTTTGTTTGCACTTGTGCGGTGTGAAATACGCGTGTATATGTGTTTTTTTCACGCTTGGTCCCGGTTGTGATTGCATGTTTGCCGTTTAATTATGATGATTTTCCATTTGATTTCTTCTCGAAATGACCATTTGTGTGTTTTATGTGATTTGTTTCGGAATGTTCATACTCGGAAGAGAGAGAGAGAGAGAGGCGAGCGATATGGTGCTGCTCCATTTGTTCACCGATTTGCCATTGAAATCAAAAACATGAATCGGTGGACATGTTCATTTGTAAAATGGTAATACAATCTCTCTCTCACGCCATCGTCTCTCGCTTTATGCGCATTTGCATCGACTTTGCCCATACTCCCCGATTTAGAATTGTATTCGAATTGTAATATTTCGTCATATTCGGAATTGAATCTGTGAAATTGTACACGCTTATCATTGGAAAATTGATGGTCATGCACACTGTATCGCCACCATCCAACATCGCACCAATCGTTGTACATTTGACTCATTCGGCATGTGTGCAATGTGCATGCATTCGGGTTTTATTTTCCTCTGTAATTCGTTTTCCATTCGAGTATCATGGTATCAAAGTGAAAATACAGTGCACTGCTGTTGTGTGCCTCTCTGTGTATGTACCTGTTTGTCGTGTAAATTTTCTGTTTGATAATTTCTACTAATCCGTTCGTTATTTTCGCTCATTTATTTTGCAATTTGTGTTGATCGCTTGTTATGATTAATCTTGCAGTTGCAATGGCAAAAACACACGCAATTTAGAAAATCTAGTACATAATCCGTAATATATTTTCCATTTGCCATCACATTTCTTTTTTTCATTTTCGTGTACATGTGTGTGTGATATCTTAATAACATGAACGAACACCAATGGACCTGTTTTGTGGTGATCGCTTACGGGCCACCACTTTAAATTACACACAGCGAATCGATAAATTCGAAACAGATTTGATTGCGATTGGCGTGTGCTTTTTCAATTAAAGAAAATTTATTTTATGTAATTTATTTGATATGATTGGCGACTGTTTTTTTTCTTCTCTCCACCCAACACAATCTTTCTTCTGCCTCGAAAACCAGTTCCGCAACAGACAGACATACACGCAGAGAGCAATGAGAAAGACAGAAAAATGCGCACGTCGCACACATTTCTTTCGTCGCAGCTCATTTAAATCGGTGCGTATTTTAGGTATTCAGTTTTACGGCTCAAACGGTAGCCGTTAAAATATCTTCGGATATCTAGTAATTTGCTCCACACTGTCAAGCTCAAGTCCAAGCTCAAGTTCAACATCATTCTCGTTTGAAATACGACGACGACGACGCGCTCATTTAACGATAAAACATTACCTTTTTTTCTGCCATTTCACGCATTGAATCGGCTTTCACAATCAAAACCATCGTTATCAACATCGTAAATCTTCTCACTTTGCAAAACGATTTTTTATGCATTCAGCTCAACTTTAACGCTGTTTCATTGTGGAAAATTCGGCCGGGATGAGCCGAAAAAGAAGAGCGACCGAATCGAATGCACCAGAAACAATCCGGTCCACAAAATGAATCAAAAGATCAACAGCAATAGATAAAATGATGGAAAAAAGTGACATAAACTTTATGTGTGCCATCTGGTTTGGAACTTTAGATTGATGGCACGCACTCAATTGAATGACAAATAAGAACAATGAGCGTCTTGACAAGAACAACAACAACAACCACGATGATGCAAATGAAATAGATCAACTTGAAAGTAATTGAAATTTTCGTCGGTGACACATTCATTCCAGTATTTTTTTTTTCAGATTAGGTCAGTGTTATAATGTGCCCGTGATTCACACGATGAAAATCGAACAAAAGTGATTGGCAGTCAAAATAAAACAAACATTCAAAATTCATTAATGAATCGAATAAAGACATTAGATCGCGATGAAAGGGAACCTATCAAGTCAATTCCATAGAAAATCGTACTAAAATTAAAGTATTTATTTAATTCCGAACCATTAATTTTTCAATATCTGAAATCAATCTATAAATTAGTTAATGAAATCATCGTCTATCTGTAGAAAAAAACAAGAGATTTTTTTTTCTCGTTCAAACGATAAAAGTGCCAATTTAAATTCTTCGGAGCGCCATTTGGGTTATTTTCACATGATATTGTGAGCATTAATCGATGGTTTTACACACGAAACCGTAATTTTTTCATTGGTTCGAAAGATTCTAATCAACGAGTAAAACAAAAAGCGGTAAAATCACGTTGTTGCTTTCCGTGAAACCCGGCTACATGGTGTAGAGTTTGTTTTCTCAGTGCGAGCGAGAGTCTTTTCACTTGTTTTGTTAACCATCGTTTATTATTATTATTTCGACATTTATTTCGTTCGTTCGAACTATGGCTCGAACACATTGTAATTAACTTGAACCCGTGCTCTCTTGGTCTTCTTGGTGTCTCTAGCAAGCATACGGTGAATTCCTCTCGTTGTTTCTTCTCGTTCGTCGGTAGATTTTTTTTGTTTCTCGAGATCTGCTTGAGTCTTTCTCTATCGCTCGTTTTGCAGGTCTTCACTGTGTGCTTAATGTTTAATGTTAATAAAATAATAGTATAGTACAAGCACCTTGTTCACTCGCAGCAATTTCGCCTTCAATCAGCTTCTTACCTCTCTCATTCACTCTCACTCCGTTGGTCTTTCTCTTTGCACAGCCACAAAATTGTGCTTACACTCTAAATATTCGTTTATTTTTTCGCATTTTTACCTCATTGATGTTGTTGTTCCTCTTCTTCTCTCTCTCTCTCTCTCTCTCTCTCTCTCTCTCTCTCTCTCTCTCT